ACTAATATTGAATGTCAACTGTAATTAAAAAAATTTAAAAATAAATTAAAAAAATAGAGGGAGACGGAGGGGGTAAGCAGCCAACGAGGGACCCCCGCCCTGACGCCCATGCTACTCTGCCCTCTAAAGGTTGGGAGAGGGCAAGCCAATGGTCCTGGAACACAGTGGTCAGAAGGGCTGTCTGGCCACCTGCCGAGACTGAGCTGCTGGTCTGCCCCGGGCAGTGCCCCGGGGTCTGCAGCAGAAGGCCCAGCCCAGGGACGGGCTGTGGCGGATGCTCTCGGCCCCTCCGCTTACAGAGTCTCTGGCCTTCACTAGCTCACTCCGTCTTCCATCCACCAACAGAGCTGCGCTCAGACACGGGAGCGTGCCAAATATAGGAGACTGCTCCCTCCAGGAAATCGATCCTCAGAAAATGTGAGTCACCGCCTGTGAGTGCGTCCCCGTCTCTCACATGATGAGGCGCTCTGCTCGTTGTCTTGCTGGGTATGAATTCTGGCTCTGCCACTTCCAGGCTGGGTGACCTGGCCTAGGGACTGTGTCTGTTTCCTCTTCTGGAAATCAGGGTAGGAGCAGGACCCTCTCATGGTGTGGCCAGGAGGACACCTGGGGCCGACCCGAGCAGAGCAGGGTGGCCGAAGGCAGGACCCTGGGTTGGCCACAGCCACTGCTGCTCACTGGGGAAGCACAGCCTCAGTCATGACCAGAATCAGTGGGAAAGGAGGCAGAGAAATGTAGTTGATAGATTTGGTAATTATTCCCAGGGGAGTGGGGATGACCTCATATGTGGTGACTTCATGGGGACAAAAATGACAAAAGCAACAATCATAATATTTGCGGTGATTAACCTTAACTGACCGAGTGAATTTGGGCAAGTGACTTAACCCTTCTGCACCTCAGTTTTCTCATCTGGAAAATGGGATGCAAAGGTTCTCAGCTCCCACCATTCTGCAGTGAGGATTAGAGGAGTTAATGCAGGTAAAGGACTTACGACAGCAGTAGACAGGGCAGGTGTAAATGTAGGTAAATGAGTTATGCAAATCAATTCTTAGGCCTTGAGATAATACTTCAGCTACAGCACCATACAGATCAAGAAAACCATGGCTGGTGTAGCTCAGTGGTTAGAGCGTTGGCCTGCAGACCAGAGTGTTGTGAGTTCGATTCTCAGTCAAGGACACGTACCTGGGCTGCAGATTTGAATCTTGGCCTGGGTCCGGTCGGCGCATGCAGGAGACAACTGATCGATGTGTCTCTCTCACAGAAATGTCTCTGCCCCCCAAACTCCCCTCTTTCTTCACTTTTTTTCTCTCTTAAAAAAAGAAATCAATGGAAAAAAATATCCTCGGGTGAGGATTAACAAAAAAGAAAAAAACAGAAAAACATGTTTAATCTAAAATAATTTGGCTGAAAGTGACAATATTTTCTGGAAAACTAGGTTAGTGACTCAGAAGTGTCTCTAACAAAAACAAAGATACTATCTCCAAAATGCTCAGACAGAGCCTAAGACAGCTTTATGAAATGAGGATGTGGACAAAAGCAGTAACTTTAACATAATACCTACACATATGATAAAATATATGTATCAATTAATGAATATTATAAGAACCCATGAAACTATTTGTGTCCTCAAATATGTTATGGATTTAGTTTACAGGTTTACACACACACACGTAAAAAGCCTTCCTGGGAGAAAGGAGATAGTTGTTTGTTTAGCACTGTCATGTGTCCAGGTTTATTTTCTTTCTTTTTTGTAAAATGTTTTTATTGTTTCTTTTTTTTTTTTTTTTTGAGAGAGAGAGATAGAAACATCGACGTGAGAGAGAAACATTGCTCGGCCGCCTCCTACAGGCCCCCCACTGGGGATCGAGCCCGCAACCCAGGCATGTGCCCTGACCGGGAATCGAACCGGGACCTCTCAGTCCATGGGCATTGCTCATTCCACTGAGCCACATTCGCCGGGCTCCAGGTTTATTTTCTGAGTACCTACTACATGCTAGGCCCTGGCTGGGGTTCAGGTGTCTGCTCTCCTAAATCCCTTGGTCTAGCAGGTGCAACAGAGGCATTAATGTGCCCGGGACTTCCACCATGGAGGGAAAGTACCATGGATCAGGAGGGATGAGCCTGGACGGGGGTTAGGAGGGCTTCTCTGAGGATGACTGGTCTGTGCTGATTGATACCCGAGGGCTGACATTATGGGTCCCCCCACAAAAGATAGACTAAAGTCCCAAACCCAAGAATCTCAGAGTGTGACCTTATTTGGAAACAGGATCTTTACAGAGGTAATCAAGGTAAAATGAAGCCATAAAGGTGGACCCTAATCCAACAGGACTGTGTCCATATAAGAGGGGAAATGCGGGCACAGACGTGCACACGGGAAACGCCGTGTGAAGATGGAGAGATTGAGGCGAATCGGCAGAAGCCAAGAAGGCCCAGATTGCCGGCTAAGCCCCAGAAGCTGGGAGACGGGCGTGGACCAGACTCACTTCAGGGCCCTCGAAGGAACCGACCTTCAGAACCATCAACAACCAGCTTCTGTCGTCGAGTCCCTCAGCCCATGGCACTCGGTCTCGGCAGCCCCCGCACACCAATACGGGGGCAGGAGGGAGCCAGCAGGGTGGGGCACCCGGGCAGAGGGGAGACCACGGAGGAGGAGGGTGGCCAGAGCAGCTGCCACTGCGGAGAAGTGTCACAGGGTCGGCCGGGCCAGGCCCTCTGGTCGCCCTGAAAAGTGGGGGCCCTGCCGGATCTCATGGCGTTGAGGTGAGAATGAGATGCCCATACACTCGCTGATGAGCCCCCACAGAAGGCCGGGCAGGCTGCAAGCAACCAAGACAGTAGCACCTGTTTTCCTGTGGGGTGACAGCAGTGGGGCAGAGAAGAGTGACACAGTGGTGGCAGGGGCTAAGGAAGGGAGGGAAGGCCCCTCTGGAGCCAGCCAGAAGGTCTGGGGGAAGAGCAGTCCAGGCATTGGACAGAGTCTGCAAAGGCCCTGAGGTCAGTCTGTATTTGGCAAGTTTGAGGAGCAGCAAGAGGCCAGCGTGGCTGGAAGGGAGTGAGCGAGGGGCAGACTGGGAGGACCCGAGGGCAAGGGGACTAGGAGGAAGATCATGCAGGGTCTGCGTGGGAGTTTGGGCAAAACACATGGTGTACTGGTGCCCGGGACAAAGTATGTGCTCAGCAAATGTGAGACTTCATCACTGATCCCGGGAGTGGGGATGTCGCTGGGGGCTGACTCAGGGGAGCGGGGGCTGAGAACCTGGTATTCAGAGCACCCTGGCTGGCCGTCAGGCGTGAGAGCTGATTCTCAGTGTGATCGCAGCAGGCCTGCCTGCCTGCCGCCGCCTCCAGGGACCTGGCTTCGTTCCTGACACGGTCCTCACGAGCTCTGTGTCTCTACACACCTGAGCCGGGGTTCCCAGGCTCCAATCTAGGCCTCATCCCTCACCAGCCGTGTGAGTCTGGGGCTCAGCGGCCTCATCTCTAAAACGAGATGAATATTAGGTCTACCTCATGGAGATCTTGTGAGGCTTCCCTGAGTTAACTGGATTACAGGAGCCTAGAACCGAGACCAGCATACAGAGTTCCTGAATGGTAGGCATCACTTCCACCTACCCTAAAAACAGAAACCCTTTCTTTTTTTTATCCTCACCCGAGGACATTTTTCCATTTTTTGTTCAGATAGAATGGGAGGAAGAGAGAGAAACATTGATGTGAAAGGGACACATCAAGTGGTTGCCACTCGCATGACCCAACCAGGGCTGGGGACAAACTGCAACCGAGGTCGTGCCCTCAGCGGAAACCGAACCTGGGTCTCTCTGGACCGCAGGCCGACACGCTAACCGCCGAGCCAAACAGGCCAGGGCCAGAAACCCTTTCTTAAGGGCACACCGCTCTCCTCTCTCACTGGCTTCACAGAAATCATCTCAAATGAGCCTCGCACACAGCTGCCTCCAACTCTGCTCCACCCTTCTCTCCTGCACCCTGGAGTCACCTCCACGAGGCTCATTCTGACCTCAGGGGTCAGGTCCACCACCCTTGGGTTCCCCCGACATTCTCTGAACCTGGAGGGGCCTGACACCCAGTCTCACACTCCCCCTCTTCTCCACCCACGTTCTGGTCCTCAGTGAGCTCCTCCAGCCTCATGCCTTCATGCTGACGAAACCCACCTCTCTCCCCAGCCTGACCTCCCCAGCTCCAGACTCTCCCCGACTGCCCCCTCGATGTCTTCCGCACACTGCAAGTGTAAGCCGCCCAGGCCTGAGCCCCGGAGCTCCCCCAGGCCTGCTCCTTGCTCAGTCCCATCTTAGTTCAAGGCAAGTGGACCCTTCAGGCTACAAGACCCGCTGTCGTCTGCTCCCTCACCTTCTCTCACACCACAGCCCATGTCGGCAGCCCTGTCTGCTGCCACTGCAGAGGGTCTGTGCTGAGGTAGCCCTCTTCCTCCTCGGCCTCCACCCTGCTCCTGCCTGGACCGTCACCAGCTCCCCACAGACCCTGCCCCACCTGCGGCCGCAGGGGCCCCGTGAATACCCGATTTGGATCATCAGTGTGCATCCCTGCTCCACACCCTTCCGTGGCGCCACCTCACTGACAGCAGATGCCAAGGCCCTCAGAGGTGGCCCATGAGACCCTCCATGACCTGTCCCATCACCTCTCTGACCTCATGTGCTCACATGTCCCAGCTGCACTGGCTTTCTCCCAGAGACCAAGCACACTCCAGCCTCGGGTCTTTGCAGCTGCTATTCCCTCTGCCTGGAACGTTCTCCGTCCAGACACCATACAGTGCTAGCCACAGACTGACCTACTGTGTGCTTTCTTAGTTACCCTATGTTGTTTGTTTCCCCAACCAAAATGTCAGCTCCCTGAGGGCGGGGGCCTCTGTGCACCCGTTCACAGCTGTATCCCCAGCGTGTGGATTGGCACAGTGTCCTGATGACAGGTGACGGAGGTGTGACTGTCCTCCCTGCCCCGAGACACCCGGCAGGCGCCCAGGCACTTACTTCTTTGGGTCAGTGAAGGGGAGTGGCCGTGGTGGCGGCTCGTCTGTTCTCTTCCACCCCGTCGGGTGTTTGTTGTGCACAGGCTGCTTGGAGAAGAAGGACTTGGGGACAGAGGCAGAGAGCTGGAAGGGGCTGGACTGGGCCAGCTGCGAAGGCCGAGGAGTCTCTGCACTGGTGGGTTTGTAACCCTGAGCAGGGTAGCCCGCCCTTGAGTTCATGTCACTGCAAAGTGAAAACGAAAGAATTAAGTGATCAAATTCATCCCACATCACAAAACCGATCTGTTTTAATTTACTCTTGGGAAATAAAAAAGTTCATTCCCACACGAGACACACAAACACGTCACTGCTGCAGGAAAGTCTAAAGTGCGGCTGCTGCCCAGCGCTCCGTCCCGCCCGGGAACGCCCTCCCAACACTCTGGTTCTTCCACAGGAGTCTAAGATCCTCACCCTGAGGGTGGGTGACGCAGCGAGATTCCTTGCACCCTGGCACAATCTACACATCTGAAGTGGGGGGTCCTGCCTGCCTGCCCATAGGCAGCCACGGCTTATAGTCTGCTCTACGGCCTCAATCTTTTCCTATGCATTACACATGCACACAGAGAAACAGGACTTTTTTTGGGGGGGGGGGTTAGTGGGAGAACTATGTTTTATTTTTTTAAATTGATTAAAAAAATTTTTTTTAATCCTCACCCGAGGACACTTTTGCATTTATCTTCAGATAGAGTGGGAGAGAAGGGGGGGGGGGGGAGAAACATCCACGTGAGAGAAACAACAATTGGCTGCCTCCTGCACATGTCCCCTACTGGGGATCGAGCCCACAACCTGGGCATGTGCCCTGACTGGGGATTGAACCGGGACCTAGCAGTCTGTGGGACGATGCTCAATCCACTAAGCCACCATAGCTGGGCAAGAATTATGTTTTTATATAACTGGGATCATGTTAATATATTGTCCCATAACTTGTAGGGTTTCTAATTTAAAATATATCTGGTGATGCAGCTCTTCGTTCAAACACTTTTAAAGGCACGTACTCCATATCAGATGCAATTCCAACAGATCTAACCTAAAACCACAGCTCATTACCCCTAATGCTGAATTCTTGTGGAATTAATGCTACAACGAACCTCACACTGTTGACCAGGACCCAACTCTTGGGGACTCAACTGCTTACACCATTGAGGCCATCAACTTCTTAATAAAATTCCAATTCCATTTCAAATAAGAGGTACTTAATGAGAAAATTAATGCCTTTGGTAAGTCAATAAATCCTTTTTGAAGGTTAATTTAGCAATATTAAGTGTTAGGACTTCTGACTATGGCCAAATGAAGAGATTGGCAAACCCTGGCCCTCAAAAGCATAAATTTGACAAACAAACAAACGCAAAAACCATTTCAGCACTCTGTAAGGCGACCGAGGGCATATAACAATCCAAGAATCATTTGAGCTTCAAAAACTGCTGAACTTCAGATAAGAAGAGGCATCTGTGTCATTTTGGCCTAGGGTTCCTCCCAGCCCCCTGCCCAGCTCATTAAACAAGGAAGTTCGACCACAGCAGAATGTTTGGGACAGCATCAAGCACAGCAACATACGTGCATCAAGAGTTTCAGGAAAAGAAAGAATGGAGCAGGAGAAAGGTTTGAAGAAATAACAGCTGAAAACTACCCAAATTTGATGAAAACCATTCATCTACACATCTAAGAAGCTCCACAAACCCCAAGCAGGATAAATACAAAAACATTCACACCCGGAAAAATAGCTAAAAGTCCAGCACTAAGATAAAAATCTTGAAAGCATGAACTGAAATAGGATTCATCACACATAGAGTAGCAGCAATACAGTCAACTGCTGACTTCTCATTTGAAACAATGGAATGGAATGACATTTTCTTTCTTTTTTTGTGTGTGTTAATCTTCACCCGAGGATATTTTCCATTGATTTGTAGAGTAGAAGGGAGGGTGGGAGGGAGGGAGAGAAACATCAATGTGAGAGAGACACACCAATTGGTTGCCTCCCTCACGACCCTAACCTGGGCCAGGCATAGAACCTGAGACCCTTTGGTCTGTGGGCCAACGCTCTAACCACTGAGCAAACCAGTCAGGGCTGGAATGACATTTTCAAAGCACCGAAAGAAAAACTGTCAACCAGATTTCTGTATCCAGCAAAATTACCCTTTACAAATAAAGGCAAAAAGAAAAAATTTTCCCAGATAAAATCTAAGAAAATACATTGCTAGCACATCTGCCTAAAAAATAATAAAAACAGTCCTTAGTCCGAAAGGAAATTACTGTAGGTGGTGAACTGAATCCATATAGAGTAATGAAGGGTCCAAGAGGATAAATTTATGTATTAGAATAAAAATCTTTATAGATTTGTTTTATTTTGCCCTGGCTGGTTTGGCTCAGCGGTAGAGCATTGGCCTGCGGACCAGTGAATCATGGGTTCGATTCTGGTCAAGAGCATGTACTTCGGTTGTGGTTCATCCCCGGCCCTGGTTGGGTCATGCAGGAGGTGACCAATCAATGTGTCTCTCTCACATCGATGGTTCTCTCTTTCTCCCTCTCTCTCCCTCCCACTCTATCTGAAGATAAACAGAAAAATATCCTCAGGTGAGGATTAAAAAATTTTATATGTATGTTTTTTCTTTTCCAACTTCCTTAAAGACATTATATAAGGCAGTAATAATATTAATATATTGTTGGGTTTATAACATACAAGACAAAATAGCATAAAGGAGGGGAAGAGAATGAGGAAAATTTGGAGAAAAGCTCTGTTTTACTGGAATTAACTCAGTATTAATCTAAATTATCCTGATAAGATACACATTATAACTGGCCAAAAATCGAGAGGACTCCAAGCAGTACACTAAAATACAGTTATTTAACACAAAAGAAGGCAAGAAAGAAAAGAGGAGCAAGAAAGACATAGAAAACCAAGAGCAAAATGGCAAATGTGAATCTATTCACTATCAATAATTTCATTAAATGTAAATGTGTGAACACCTCAATAAAAAAAAAAAAAGAGATTGTCAGACTGGATTAAAAAAAATAAGCAAGCTCCAACGATATGTTTTCTACAATCTAGCAACATCTACTAACAGGGCCTGACTTGTGCATTTGTGGGGGGACGTCTAGGAAGCCATGGAGTATGCAACACCAGGAATGCCCTTTGTCTAGGGTGGTCAGGAGGGCTCCCCTAAGGAGGCAATGGCTTCTGAGCTGAGAACTGAAGGATGAGTAGCATCTAACACACGGCCTCCCGGAAATCCATGCTGCAGTAAAGCCTGTGCAAAGTACATGTAGGCACATGGACTTGGATGGTCACTACGGTGCTGTGTGTAATCAAGAGAAGTTGGACAGCCCTGGTCGGTTTGGCTCAGCAGTTGGAGTGTCGGTCTATGGACTAGAGTCCCAGGTTCGGTTCCTGCTAGGGGCACATACCAAAAAAAAAAGAAAAGTTGGACATGGCCTGAATGTCTTTTCAGCGAGGATTACATAGAGCATTCCAAGCACACCCATATGATCCAAGTCAGTGCAAAGAAGGTCGATTTGTGGACGAGGACAGATGTCGGAGCTACAGTGAGTGGAAACAAGGCACGGTGCAAAGTAGGGCGCTGCTCTTCCTCTTTTTTTTTGTTTTTTATCCTCACCCGAGGACATTTTTCCTTTTTTTGTTCAGGTAGAGTGGGAGGGAGAGAGAGAAACAGAGAGAGAGAGAGAAACATCGATGTGAAAGGAACACATCGAGTGGCTGCCACCCGCACAACCAACCAGGGCCGGGGACAAACTGCAACCGAGGTACATGCCCTTAGCGGGAACCGAACCCGGGTCTCTCTGGACCACAGGCCGACGCTCTAACCGCTGAACCAAACCGGCCAGGGCTCTTCCTCTTTTTTAAAAAAATTGTTTTTTCCCCTTTATTGATTTCAGAGAGGAAGCGAGAGGGAGAAAGAGAGAAACATCAATGAGAGAGAACATTGATCAGCTGCCTCCTGCACGCTCCCCACTGGGCATCAGGCCCACAACTTGGGCATGTGTCCTGACCGGGAATCGAACCCACGACCTCCTGGTACATGGATCAACGCTCAACCACTGAGCCACACCGGTTGGATTATTTTTCTCTTTTTAAATGTACATACATACATTGTATAATTATTGGACATTTTCTGTTTTGTCTTTTTTTTCCCATTTGTAGTTGTTTTGTCTTTTTTACGTAAAGGAATGCATAATTTCCCCCCAACTTTGTTTGGGTCATAAAATCAATTTAGTGGGTCCTGACCACTATTAAGAGGGAAGGAAAGAAACAGACTAGTGAGAAAACCGCAAGTGAACATCCTGTGAAGTAAGGGAGAGTGGTGGTGTGGGACTCCGTTCGGGATGTCCGTGCAGGGCTGCAATGTGAAATGTCTTTCCTGAACAAGAGACGGTCAGGAACGTCCGAAAGAACTGGGCTGATACAAGTTTGGAGAAAAACCTCTGGGGGAGCATACACTAACTGATTACCACCGGATGTAGTCATGATGGGGGCCGTGTACAGAGTAACAGGCAAATGAAACTATATAAATGGCGCAGGACAAAAGCAAGTGCCACCTGATACCCCAGCCTCCCTCCCTGAGGCGACCTTGGTCCACCCTTTCCTCTCTCAACAGAGCACGTGCTGTGTCCACGGGCTAAAAGCATGGACTCCGAACTCGGCTCTCACCCCACCTCACCTGGACAGGCTGTTAGTGCTCAGGACAGCACTGGAGATTTTGTGGGTTACAAAACCAGCTGAGAAACCACAGGCCGATGGAGCATCCCACAGCTGTGGAGACGGGCAATGCTCTGGTGGGGACGGGTGGCCCAGCGTGGGGGTGGGCTCAAAGGGCGCGTGCCGTGCCTTCAGGAAGAGCAGGGGCGGAGCAGGGGGCTGGCAGTGCTGGCTGCACCCGTGGCTGGGCCCTGCTCTGAGCATCTTGCAGGGGTCCCTCCGTTCAGTTACCGCGGCAACCCCATGAGGCAGAACTACCACCAGCCACAGGTTTCAAGTGGAGAAACAGGCTCGGAGAGATTAAACAACTTGCCCCAAATGACGGAGCTGGGAGGAGACAAAGCTGGGATGCAAACCCAGGCAGTCTGGCTGAAGAGACCCCGAGTTTAACCACCAGCCTGTACTTTCAACGACAACAGAAGTCACGATCAACATGTAGCGAGTGAACAGAAAATCGAGCAGCAGCTGATAGA